ATCACTTCCAGTGTGAGGGATGAAGTCAAAGCAGGATACAGATTGCTTATTAATACAGATAGTTATCACAGAGGTAATGGAGTTTTTATATATCTCATTATATCATTATGATTTTTTGTAGCATACATACAGAAAATTCACTAACAAATGTAATTTTTTAGCCAGTCTGAACTTACATGAGCTCTGTGGGGGCATACCTAAAAAAATTGATTTTCTCTAATGTTTTCAGGCCTGTCTGACCTCTGTTAGATATTTTGCATGCATATTTCATGCAAGAAAAAGCCACATTAAGTGCACACTAATTGTGACTATAAAAATAAAGTATCCACCGCTCCAAGATTATTAATTTGCATGGAGATTGTGCAAGGAGTGATCTTAGAGTGGTGGCTACTTTACAACACACACACAGGGACCCTGGGGAACAAAAGTAGCCACCACCGAGAATGAAGGACAGTGTCAGCATAACTTCAGAGATGATTTAAAGATCTACAGTCGAGTGATGCACAAATAAGCTACATTTTTGTTAATAGGGTACTTACATGTATTTTTAAGGTTTAACTCCTGAGTTTAGTATCACTTTAAAACAGTTAATGCTGGCAAAAACTAATAGCTTTAGTTCTCATTAAAAATAGACCCCTTAATCTTGAAGTTCTGGTATGAAAGCACTTTATGTGCATGTGACAAATGGTTCTAATGAGGATAACTAACAGAAACATGTAAACATCTTGCTACCAAATGAATAGGACAGGACTCATTTTAATGGAACAATTTGGTCTGTCTTGATTATGGGCACCCATTCTAATGTTTATAGCTATTTATACAGGAATAGTAAACGTCACTTACAGAAAAAAAAAATGAATAAACATGTAATCAGGACAAAGACATTGCAAATAAATAATGGGTTTGTATGTTTTTATTGAAAATGAAGTCCATTTTATGCACACTTGGCTAATGATTACATGATTAGTATTTGTACCACATTTGACCAGGAGAGCAAACATTTTGTTCAAATTCTGTCACTGTAATGTCAAATGTTTAAAAAAAAATATATGCATCCTTGCAGAACAACAAACATTCCAACAGAAAAAAATTTACCACCTCCTGACTATTGTAGTCAGACAGGGGAGTAGTTATTCTATTTACCATTGGTGAGCGTGCCAGGTAGGCACACAACGCCTGTGATCCCGTTGTCATTAGAAAGTGGAGATCATAGGCAAAATTCACAGAGCCTGCTCGTATTCGACCAGCCCTACTAAGTGGAAGAGGTTTTTATCAGAACAAACATCCCAATTTCATCTCATTATTCATTTGTGAAATCAATAAAATGTGTTAAACGAAATGTTTAAAAGTGTAATCTAAGGGTTCTATAATCTATTCTAACATGTTTTATCATGGTTAACTTGTCAGTTTGTTTTTCTATGTTTCCATTTTTTTAAAAGTTTGTTTCGTTAATAAAAACTTGTTTGAATGTCTAGATAGTACTGTTTTTACCCTTTATTTGTATATATTTTGAATTTGCCATATTTATAGAACCATAAAGTTAGATTTGAGAACATTTTGCAGGATTAGTATGGCACTATACCTGTAGCATACATAATTACCTCTAATACAGGTCTCTCCCTTTTCCAAAAGTAAATAAATGCTGCTTACAAAACATTTTATTTTGCTGTCCTGCCTCATTACATGTTAAAAATGTGGTGTTATACCTTCCCTATAACATAAATATATTTATGAAAGTTGAAATTGAATATTAGGTCTGTTGTGATCAACTGTTTTTGTTTTCCTTCAGGGTCAGCCTGGAACACGAGGTTTTCCTGGATTTCCCGTAAGTCAAGTGACTAAATATTATTTGGTTGGGGTAGGAAAAGTCTGTATAGATTTTACTGGGAGTTTTTGTTTTCTATACAATATATAGTGGATGCTTGAGAATTACATTTAGGTTAACCATTTTAGGGCTGTTTAGTGTAGTCACTGATTAGGTAATAGAATGGTTTAGAAACACAGAACTGTTTGTAACTGTTTGGAATGATTTTCGCAATATTCATAAATGGAAAACTTTGAAGCCCTCTAGTGGTCAGTGACTCCTATTGCAAAGTCACTACAAACAGTGGGGTTGATTTACTGACGTAAGTTTGCAAAGTGTAGGTTCACATAGCAAAGTAAAAGTTGCTAAATAATCTGAACCTGGGTTCACTTTGAATTTCCAATCATGTGTAAAATTTCCTTTGCACATGATTGGGTAGTCAAAGGGAACACAAGCTTTCATCTATTTACCAGCACTTACTTTGCTAAATGATCAGCCTCTATTGCTTTAGTAAATCATCCCCAATACATTTCAAAAATTTTAATGTGCTCACAAAAAAAGTACATGTGCACACTTTGGGTCCTTCCCATATGGTTTGGAAAACTTTATAAGATATGGCTGGTAGCTGTAACCTGCAATATTGTGGCCTTTGAATATGCATGTCATTGCTATGTATATTTTCATGTTCACCTTATAATGTATTTTTTATGCTTTTATATCATAGCAATAGGTTACAGCTGTAATTATACCTTTTTTGTTAGTGACTATGTGAAATGTATTATGAAGTAAGGGAGGGGAGCTGATTCACACTGAATACCATAAACCTTGTAATACAGTATTGTCTTGACTATTTTAGAAAAGGAAAATAAAGTGTCCCTGTTATCCCAAATAGCCATTTCTTTACATCTTAGATGACCTATACATAGGTGCTAATTGCAGGATCCTATTCAGTGCCCACGTGGCAAACCATGTTCCAAATGCTCTTCCAGTGGGGTGACCAATGAAGTCAATGTGCATATGGTGTCAGGCATTGCTTAGACACGGCAGGCAACATGGTATGTGATTTAACACGTGGTGATAAACACTTGTGTGTTTAATTATTTTGGTGACTGCACTCTCTCAGAACAAAGTGGGTGCTGCTAAATGCTCCCTCTATTTAACAGCTTAGATTACAGAATCTGGTGCTTACACATGTGCATTTTTTATTGATTTTTATTTTGTGGTGTACATTTAGTCTGAAATGTGATTCATATTTGGAAATAATTTCTTTTGATGGTGGCACATGCATAGTTGCTGTCTTTTTTCTTTAAGCTATATTACAGTCATAATTTTGATGGCAGCTGTTTTGTAAATAACTTCATTCCATTGATTTTATTTTATACTCTAAAAATGAATTTGGTAAAAAAAATAATTAATTTATACCACATGGGCAGCACAGTGGGTTAGTGGTTAGCGCATCTGCCTTGCAGCACTGGGGGTCCCTGGTTCGAATCCTGGCCAAGGAGTTTGCATGTTCTCCCTGTGCTTGTGTAAGTTTTCCCCGGTACTCTGGTTTCCTCCCACACTCCAAAGACATGCTGGTAGTTTAATTGGCTACTGTCTAAATTGGCCCTGTATGTATGTGAGATACAGGGGCCAATTTAGACAGATTGTGAGCTCCTTGAGGGCAGGGACTGATGTGAATGTGCAACTATGTAAAGCGCTGCGTAAATTGTCGGCGCTATATAATATGTGACCCTACTTAGAACCATAGAAAAAAATTCAAACCGCAATAAAATTGCTTACTTTTTTCAAAAACTTGTAAAATGCCTGTGCATAGTTCAAATTTTCATAGGCTCGATCAAATTATTGAAACTTCGTATTTGAAAATTGTGGACACTGTAAATTACAACTAGAACCTGGTTGCTATAATCAATACAAGCACTTGGCTTTCATCTGTTTAAATCAGTCTATTTAATAACACAGATTTTTACATGAACGGCATTGTGAATAAGAGATGTGTGTCTACATTTACAACTACTAATCCAGTCACTAATTGTGAAATTGTGTCTTACATAGGTTTTATGTTACATATACTTTTTCTAGCATATGCTAACTGACATTTTATCAGATTATTATGTGAATTTAAAAATGAATGTATTTATGTTGACTTACAGAATGTTCTTTTAATCTCATGGACAAAGAGCATGTACAATTTGCTTCAGCTGTGTTGTGTGTTCATAATTTGTTAACGTTATATGGTTTGTATAAATGTTGCCATTCTGCGTTGGTGGCATCAGTAATCTTTTTTACCCTTCTTTCCATCGACTGTCGCATGTGTCTTTGAAATATTTCAGAATGTGCATCCAAAAACAAGTGTGTTGATTTTAATCTTTCTCCTGTTGAGCAAAGTAAGTTACACTGAAGAAGCTTCTGGTAAAGCAAAGGTGATTTTGTAATACAGGAAGGCTTCATTCACACTTACCACTTGTGTTCCTGTCCTCTGTATGCAGAGGAAAATCTATGGGGTTGGTTGTGGTGTTTATGCTTCTAGATGTTTTAAAAGGTGCACGTTTACATGTGTTTAAATGCATGTTGATGCATTTAGAGGTTCAAATCAGTTCCTGATGCACCTGCCTTCTATTTTTTGAAAAAGCAGATAAATTGACCACAGATAAAAGCATCTAAACGCAATGTGTAAATATACCCATTGGAATTTATTAGGTGCATATATACGCATTTACAAAAGTGTTTTAAATGCATATAAAAGCATCTAATTGCACATAGTGTGAATGAAGACTAATAGATGTAATAGATGCAAAGAGCGGTGTACACAATGCCAATGCTATGGGTTACTGTTATTTGCATTAAGCCCACAATATCTAGATTTTGCTGAAGAAGGAGAAAGTTCTGAATAAAAAATGTATGTCTGCTTTTTGTAATTTTGTGACATCTTCTGTGTACACAAAAGAACCCAACTACCATGTTTATGGTGGTTAATGATGACATCTATAACTTTTCATAAGTATCTTCTATTTGTATTCCAGGGCCCAATAGGATTAGACGGCAAGCCAGTAAGTGTCTCATTACGTAGCCAGCGTGTCAGTTTTTAGGATATAAAATTAGTCAATTGTTGCAGCAATAGCTTCACACTGTGGGAATGACGTTTCCTAAAGTTCCCACCTTTCTAAGATACCTTTATGGTGGAAACATATGCCTCCAAGGTTATTGCTGCTAGTATTGAGTATCCAAAATATGTCACCTGTAGTGTGGGGTCACTAAGTGAGTATGACATTCCTCTCCAGAATTAGCACTATAACTGTGGCATCTTATGCTCTGAAGTTAGTTTGTTGGGAAAAGTTCTAGCCCTGTTCCAGAACTCTATGTGAACTGTTTGCATGGCTGCTTTTTGGCTTAATTTTATAATTTTGATACTTAAACCATCTTAACTCTTTACTCTTATCCATGAAACAAACTGTGGTGAATATATGTGCAAATGCAATATTTTAAACAAATTGAATGCCTTGTTACGCTACCACCTGTGTGCATGGCTGGTCTAGTCCTTGTCTGAAATTCCTGCCTAGCAATAAATCTTTTGATTTTAACAAACCATTTTATACCTTTCTGCAGCTCTCAACTGTAATTTGTTACGGCATAAGTATGCCTCATAACTCACTCAATAACTCAGGTGACAGGGTCACAAAGAAGCCCCAGAGCTGCCAGGAATATTCAGTAGAACTGAGCCAGGCTAAAATAAACAAAAATGTTGATTAAGAGTGATTTGTTGGGTGACCTTCAGATTTGTAGAACCTGATTCTTTATTCTGATTTGGAGATTGCAGCCACTGATTAGAGAGAAACTATAGCTAAAATGGTTTTACAGAGAACTGCCATTTTAGGCTATTTGCACATTACACTCATGCTGCCATCATTCTAGTCTTTTGACTCCTCAAATTAAACAATGCTTGCATGCATGATGACCTTAGAGACAAATGGCCTAATTCACTAAAGACGCTTAGAATCTTCACACAATAATTTGTGTGAATATTTATTTCAATTATTCTGGCATGTTTAATTCTTGCACCTGCGGTCAGGTGCAAGACTGTAGCCAATTACTGTTTCGGACGGCGCAGTGCATTGTGGGATGTTCCGCGGTCGAACAGACCGCGCACATCCTGTAATGTTCGGCGTTCAGCGAATGCTAGAACAGGCTATGTTCGAGTCGAACCTATGTTCGACTCGAACATGCAGCCCATCCCTAATGTTCAATGCAAATTCCTGTTCACTCTGAATACCAATTAAATGAAGATGAAATAAGTAAACAGGAATTTGATTTTTACATGATTGGATAAGTGAAGGGAATATTCACACAATCTATTGGGTGAATATTCTTATACTCCTCTAGTAGATTTGCCTCAAAATGTGAACATGCTGCTCAAAAATATTATATATGGCAGATAACATTGCCATAACATGTACACATGTAACCTGTACCATCATCTTTCCACATATTTCAACAATGCCTACATGAGTATAAGTCACCTAGTTAAACTATGCTCTGTCTCTTCTAAGCCAAAATAAAATGTTGAGATGAAAAAATATTCCACATATGTTAAAAGTGCACGGCATCAGTCCTGCTAATTCTGTTACTTTCTTGGTATTGTAGGGCCATCCAGGTCAAAAAGGTGAAAAGGGAGATATGGTAAGTAGATCTGTTATGATTAATTTAGCATGATGAAAATATAAATATTTTGTCATCTGGAAAATATTTTTAACTTGCAATACTATTTTTTAAGTACTTAACATGATTTTCTGTGATTGAGGATGCAAGTCAAAAACATGCCCTGTCAGTAAATATTTTTGAATGTTGTCAGTAAAAAGTCTTGGAAGGTTAGCAGCCCTGATGATAGCGTGTTTTGTATGTATGCTAGACTCTAGGAAGTGATAGAAACACAAATCATGGATAAATGTTATATTTATTGCTTGGATTCACCACACATTATGTAAAAAATGAAAAACATCTCAACCGAGGCAGCAAGCTACTGAATGAAGACTGTGGACATCCACACAAATGTGATTCCTGAAATATATTGGTCCAGCTATTTGATTGTATTTTAATAGTAGATTACAGTGAGCCAAGATTAGATGTAGGGTGTAGGGTGACTCCTTAAATCATGACCGTATTAGATTTGCTCTCTATCTACTTTATCGTTTTTTTCCCCCACTACTTCAATTAGCACATCCTATTCTGTTCTGAAGAACAAGGGTATATTTCGAATGTAAAGCCTACACTACATTTGCAGTAAAGGCTCTGGGGATATTTTTTACCCCGCCGGTGGAATATAATCTAGGACGAATGTTCCATTTTGGCCCTTTAAAATGGTGACTATGGTGAGCTGTGATGAGGCAAAGATTAATGACGCAATCCATTTTGTGTTCCTCCTGAAGCACACACTGCATGGCCTAATAGATGAGGTCACTCACACAAAACATTCAGTGCAACTCCTCCCATATGTAGCAAAAATGTCCTAACCTGGACAGTCCCATAATAACATATTCCTACACACCTTCATGTTTTTAAATTATTTTTAAATTTGTATTTATTACAGGTATTTATATAGCGCCAACATTTTTTGCAGTGATTCACATATACTCTTTACTTTCATACTCATTCCCTTTCCCTTGGTCTCATGTCACTCTTACGGCCAGTCGCCCAAGTCTGTTAGGTGTCATCGATTGCTAAGAGGAATCCAACATGTGAGCTGTGTGGCTAGAACAGCCTTGTTTCAGCTTTTTTCTCCCCTTTACAAAATAGGAGAACATTTAGTGACACTATTGCGTAGGTCCTGATTGGCATCACAGCACCAAGTCACTGCACCCAGAACAAGGTTGTGAGTGTTGTTCCTATGGCATCTTAGTTCGGGAAGCTGACACTGACAACATCAACTGGGCCCTTGGTACGGAGTGATCCGCCCCCTCTTCAGCCCACCAAGTTCCAAGAGATGAAGCAACTGTGGTGGAGGAATCACTAAAAGAAGCACATACTGATAGACAGCGTCAAAGTTACTATCTACCTCTCACATGGCCATGATCAATGAGTACATCAACCTGTTGCCAAACTAGAGCTGGTATGATCTTATATGACCCCCCCTCCTCCCTGGTTAGAGTTACAATATAAAAATACTGGAATATTGGAATGGTAAATGACCTAAAATTAGTAAAGCACTGCAGTTCCAAACTATGGGTCTGTTTAATATTTAATGTCCTTTTATATTTGAAACAGGAGTCCCACTGCTGTGATGAAGTCAGGGTTCTGGTCTTGCAATAAATAATTACAGCTGTTGGACTTCTCTAGTTATTGCCCCTATAATGAACCAATCTATAACACATACAAATTATAAATACATGTTTGGCGTGCTGTAATTTCCTTGCAATCTGCTGCACTCAGAAACCTCTAGTAACAATTCAAGCTTCCCATATTCTACCAAGTGTGAGCGTTGGTTACCTAGGTTCAGGCAACAGCTGTGAATGAAATCATTCTGCTCCTAGACACCTCTGCAAGCCTGTCCATCCGGCTTCAAACAAAGCCATTAACACACAGTGGGCTCTGTATTAGAAAACGAACAGAATTTACAGGGTCTGCTGTGGTGTTTTATGAGGACAGCCTCCTTTAAAATCAGCCTTGTGTAGATTTCGGAAATCATTAATAGCCAGAGCAGAACCAAATTCCAGAAGTATAGACTAATTTTCAGTTTCACGCTGAAGAGAACATTTCTAACATGAAATTTGTTAAATGCATTAAAGGTTTTGTACTCAATCGCATGATGTTTGGGCAGTCAACCAGGGGCGCCACCTGCTGTCCACTGGGAGCGGAAAGAGCTGTCAGTTTTAGAAGATTTAAAGCAGAACTCCAAAATTATAAAAAAAAGCTCTTTAGTTATATATTATTTTAAGAATCACTTAATGTATTTTTGCATACTTCTAGTACATTTTCCCGAAATTTGTCTCTATAGTAACTTTCCATAACCTACTGTACAGAAGAAATCAGACTGAGTATAGGTGTATGAGCACTGTGAGAGTCATGCTTTGTGCCTTGCACAGCAATGCCATCCTAAAATATATCAAGATTTAGAGGGGGTAAGTGTTTAGATGACTTACATGGCTCTGGATCATCCTGTAAACCTTTTTCTGAATGATGTGGCTTCATATTTCTGATTCATTAAACATAAGTAAAAAAATAAGTATGTGCCCGTGTACCAAGTGTACCAAGCAGAATTCTTGTTTTTTCTTTAAAATTACCTGCTAATAAAAGGTTCACTCTGGTATGTTGCAATATAATCTAGGTGTTTATTATGTGGCCTCAATAGCAATGGGCGAACCTGCCCAGGTTTTATTTGCCAAAGGTTTGGCAAATGTTATTTGATCTTCAGCCAACCCAAACTTTATGGCAAATCTTATTAAAGTCTATAGGGGATCTTAAATGGTCTAATGGAAAACAATTGTCAAAAAGGGCAAAAGGAGTTGAGCATTGACACGTTTAACAAAACAAATACTATACAGTGGAGAGAGGGTTCTTTTAATGTGGCTTTGAGGGTGACATATAAAACACCAATCATTTCAATTACATGCTTGGTAAATGCCTTTAAGTTGTAAGTGGTGTTACAGACAGTATGATTTTCACACACAGCGTCAGCAACACCATATTCTGGCAGCACATATTTTGAATGTGTAATTGATTTTTAAAATGTTATCATTTAGCTTGGCTTAAATACAGCAGCAGCAGTTTAATCTGATTGACTGTTTTTCAAGTGATAATAGGCCTGAATTAATCGGTGGTAACAGCCACAACAGATCTAAAAGCTACCGCAAGGTTTCCTCTTTGTACAAATTGGCCAGTGGCACAACAATTTAATAGCAATGTTTGCAAGATTCCTTTTTTGCAGTACCACTCTGTACTGCCTTAAAAGTTTAATAAAATCTCAAAACAGAGTGCATGAAAAACTTTAAAACCACAACTTCACTTTCCGTGAACCACCTCTAATCCCCGTATCCGAAATATTACCTAAATAGTCAAAATATAGTCTCCAGTGTCAGGACAGTACAAGACAGGCTTTAAAATAAACAAAGTGTATTATCTGAGAAATAATAGCCACAAATATTGTACAGTGGCTGTACAGTATGTAGGCAGGTAGGTTAAGCAGGAGAGATGAGGCATTACGTAATATGCATCTGGAACTATTCTACAAGGAGCGGTGGCATGTGTTTTCTTGGTAAAGAGTTAGGCTTAAAGATTTAATAGGAGAGTGTCTTAAGAAAACCTTATTAGAAATTGTACAGCACATATGTACAGTACATTGTTATTCTACAAAACTAGTTATGGATGGATGGTTGTGAGTTTCAACACTGATTGACTTCTCATGATGTTTTGGGTGTACAATAGTTATGGAGATACATTTAAGGAAGATACACTATATTGCCAAAAGTATTGGGACGCCTGCCTTTACATGCACATGAACTTTAATGGCATCCCAGTCTCAGTCCGTAGGGTTCAAAATTGAGTTGGTCCACCCTTTGCAGCTATAACAGCTTCAACTCTTCTGGGAAGGCTGTCCACATGGTTTAGGAGTGTGTCTATGGGAATGTTTGACCATTCTTCTAGAAGTGCGTTTGTGAGGTCAGGTACTGATTTTGGACGAGAAGGCCTGGCTCGCAGTCTCCGCTCTAATTCATTCCAAAGGTGTTCTATCGGGTTGAGGTCAGGACTCTGTGCAGGCCAGTCAAGTTCTTCTACCCCAAACTCGCTCATCCATTTCTTTATTTATACCTTACTTTGTGCACTGGTGCGCAGTTATGTTGGAACAGGAAGGGGCCACCCCCAAACTGTTCCCACAAAGTTAGCAGCATGAAATTGTCCAAAATGTCTTGGAATGCTGATGCCTTAAGAGTTCCCTTCACTGGAACTAAGGGGTCAAACCCAACCCCTGAAAAAAAACCCCACACCATAATCCCCCCTCCACCAAACTTTACAGTTAGCACAATGCAGTCAGGCAAGTACCGTTCCCCTGGCAACCGCCAAACCCAGACACGTCCATCTGATTGCCAGACAGAAAACCGTGATTCGTCACTCCAGAGAACAGGTCTCCACTTCTCTAGAGTCCAGTGGCAGCGTGCTTTACACCACTGCATCCGACACCTTGCATTGCAATTGGTGATGTAAGGTTTGGATGCAGCTGCTCGTCCATGGAAACCCATTCCATGAAGCTCTCTACGCACTGTTGTGCTAATCTGAAGGCCACAGACAGTTGGCGACTTCTGTGCACTTGCGCTTCAGCATGCGTTGACCCCGCTCTGTCACTTTGTTATGATACCACTAACAGGTGACCGTGGTATATTTAGTAGCAAGGAAATTTCACGGATGGACTTATTGCACAGATGGCAACCTATCACGGTACCACGCTTGAATTCACTGAGCTCCTGAGAGCGACCCATTCTTTCACAAGAAGCAGTCTGCATGCCTAGGTGCTTGATTTTATACACCTGTGGCCATGGAGGTGGTTGGAACATTTGAATCCAATGATTTGGAGGGGTGTCCCAATACTTTTGGCAATATAGTTTATGTCCCATCAGTGTCCCTTAAGAGATGTAAATAAAGCTGGAGGGTTATACCTTTATTACTTTAAAGCTCAGTTATCAGTTTTGGGTGCATTGACTGTTTGAACCAGAACTGAAGGAAAATGTTGCTGGGAGAATGCAAATAATGTTTAAGTACTAATTTTTGTACATTATAGCAAACTCACCTTTGCGTTTGCCATGTCCTAGCGATGATAGATTTGTGTTCTCCCTCACCACATCTCAGGTGCTACCATCTTCATGTGAAATTCTTCTGATTCAATTTTAAGCCAACAGGGTTTGTTAGAGAAGAGGAACCTCCCATACCTCCACAATGGACTTGTATGATCTGCACACTAGACAACATTCTTCACCATCTGACATATACTGAGGGTGTACACTGCACTGTACATGCAACATAGCTCTGTAAATAAAAATTTTTTTTGTAAGAAATCGGCTGATTTCAGCCGATGTACGGCTGAAATTAGCCGTACCAGCCTGAAGTGAATAGCCGAACAGTGTTCGGCTCACTTCAGATCGGTCATTCACTCGGCTGCCCTCGGCAGCTTCCTGAATAGACCCCTAAGTCTTAAACAAATGCACAACATATCAGTCTTAAGCCATAATATTCTGTCTGAAAATAGTCAATTACTGGATGCTTGTCCTGGGAAAGCTGGTACAAGCTTTCTCCGTTCTCAAGGTAGTGTCTGCACCTGGAAGCTTTTCATTTATTGTTTTGCCAGCAGCATTTGCAATGTTGGTACAGTTACACGGAGATGTAATGCATGTACTGAGATCCCTAAGACTGATATCCAGCAGGAAATAGAAATTCTCAGACAGTGTCTTGGAACACGACCTGCCCTTTTTAAAGGTAAAACAAAACACTGTATGTGACTTCTCCCACTTCCTCAGCAAAATATATCAAATATGACAAAACAGAGATGTATTACATGTTATTGTCTGGTAGTTATATTTATTACACAGTCCTCATTGTCATTGCTGGGCTGACCCTTCAGGACAGGAGGTTATAATTCTGATAAAATTGCAAGACAAGGAAGTGATGATAAAGGTTCCACTAATATAAGCTACAGAAACAAAGCTTTGCTTTTTATAGTGCTTGTAGTTGTTACCTAGAGTTTGTCAATGTGCTCATGGTGAGGTACACGCAATCAAAAAAAAGAAAGAAAAGGCTTTTAAAGTACATTTCTAGCAAAGTTTGTTTTTGTAGCTTTTAACAGAGATGGAAAGGAGTAGGACCTCTTCACCTTCTTTTTTTTGTCCCTACTATGGAAATTTTTATTAATTTCCTGTCCCAGAGACACAGCAAAACGAGGGGAAATTCCAGCTTTGGCAGTTGTCATAAGAAAAGGTGTCCCCACTGGAAAATTTCCCCTTGCTCCTCCTATTCTGGTGATGACGGTAAAATGTAATTTTTTTACCCTCACTTACTGTCCAGATGATAGAGGCTACAAGGAAAAATGGAGCAATTAAATCTTATCAACAATAGGAATAACAACCGACTGAGAATCTAACTGTTCCTGACCTTATCCGAACCTGGGAAAAAAAAAAAAGATTACAATCGAATAATACATTAAGGGCCCAATAATACCAAAATCGGAATGAAATCACAAGTCAACGGAGGGTCTGTTGACTTGCAGTTTAAACTTTGACTTCCATTCTGTTCCATTGCATTTTTTTTGGCAGTCTATTTTAATTAACATATCCTGAGTGGGCTTTTTTTTTTTTTACTTACATTCTCTTGTGATTACATTCGTTTTTGTTCCGTTACATTACATTGTGCTGAACAAAAGTAGAGCATGCTCTACTTTTTTTCAATCGTACTGCAACTAAATGGAATGGATCGCATCGGTGTGAACTGGTCCCATTCACACACATTCATTTTTTGTTACCGTTGCGTCAGCATCCATTGAAAAACAGCAGTATATGGAACTGGTGTAAAGGGGGCCTAAAGGTTACCATTGCCATGCCATTTAGACAAACATTTTAGTTGGCTTAGCCACACAATTATTAGCCATGTTGTGCAAACAGTAAGGGGCTGATTTATAAAGCGCTCACCCAGTATATAGCTGGGTGTAAAAGATGTTTACAGCAAATTACTGCCACTATATGGAGCCGAAGAGCATCTACATCTCCTATGCTCCTCGGCTCCATCTATTTGATTTGCACTGTGAAAGTCATTCACCAAGCTATACTCTGGACAAACGATTTTGTAAATGCTTCCCGGCCAATCAGCTTGGAGCCGGCCAAAAAACATGGAGCCGGCTTACTGGCCAATCAAGAAGCCTTGCAGCGGGTATTGAGGAAACCAGGCAGCAAGTTGTTACCCTAATTACTTGTATTTCAAATATAATACATTTAGTGATGCCTGAATGATAGTACATCTGCATTAATGTGTATCCTTTATATCTGCCTGGAGTGATTCTTTAATGCATTAGACATTAGCACATATTTGATGTCAAAACAGGTGAAGGGCTTTGTTACACTCAAGGCAGCAGAATCAGGTTTTTCCATCCCCAACCATGTTCCTACACTTCAAATTGAGGTTATCCTTTAAGGAACAGGTCACTGTAGTAACCTCTTAGTAAGAATAAGAGTGAAACATGAATTTTACTTTCATGATTTGTTTTGGTTTTCTTTTAAGCCAGCATGAACTGTTTTTATTGTAGTATGGTCCACTCGCATATCCCTTGGTTTCTAGATTGGCATCTTGGAGACAGCCCAACATATGCAGTCTGGGACAGGAGGGAAAGGTTGTTATGTCTGCAGAGTAAAGGAAGGTTAAATCAACCAATTATCGATAATAAGTGCTCCCATATCCCTCTTTTAAATCAAATTGTGAAATGTATATTTTTATAGCTGCTGAACAGAAGCAGGTAATTTTTGAATGAGCTTGAAATAGAGTACTGTATAATTTGGACTGACTTACATTCGCATTAAATGATTTAGCTCTTTGAAATATTCCATATGTATGTAAAATTTGCTTTGTCATTTAAGATACTGATTAAATTATATGTAGGTATTTCTGGAAATGAAAACATAATGGTTTCAGTAAAAAGGGAAACTTTTTTTAAAAGATGTTTGCATTTGAACAATGTACCAATCTATTGAGGGTGATCTGTGACTTTGTCTAATAGTGACCCCTATTAGCACACTAAACATAATTACTTGACAGAATATACTGGCTTGTGGTTTCCAAATTAATGACTATCATTGCCTTTTTCCTGTGACCTCCGTCCATGCATGATTGATTTGTTTCAGAGTGTAAATATTTTCCATACTGATCAGCCAGGCATTTTGGCACATAATTAGCCCATTAAGAGTAAAAATAAATAAAAAGGAAGGCTTTCTCTTTTCTGGAATTGATAAAGACTTTAGTTTCTGGGTTCAGCTAATTTCTATGTTTAGTACAAGGGGCAAAATACCTTTGTAGACCTTATTTTAAAGGCACAATTAGCATAGTTTTGAAGAAAATCCATTGGTTCCAAGGAATTGTATGGATTGCATGTCATTGACTAATACAGAACATTTGGTGTTCTACAGTTGCCTTGATTATGATTACATAATGTGAATCATACAGTATGTATTACTAATAAAATCCGGCTAATACAAAGCAATCCTGTCTTTTTGTTTTTAAGGGTTCTCCTGGTCCAAAGGGAAATACAGTGAGTATATATCTTTTTGTGTTCTGCTAATGAAAGTATTGCTGTGTCTGTTTTAATGTAAATGGATGAATTACTGCAATTGTATGAATAATATATTTTTCTTGCATTAGGGAACAACAGGTGCCAAAGGAGAAAAGGTATGAAATGCTGGATTGTGTACTACTTTTATCCCTTGCTATATAAACAGTCTGAAATAGAATAGTAGGCATTTATTATATGATGGCGTTGATAAATATATTTAATTCATAAGCCATTCACATTTTTAGTGCCAAGTTAATGGGGTTGATTCACTAAAGGCAAATAGGCTGTTCGCTTAGCAAGGGAATTTTCCCTTTGCTTAGTGAATGAGGTGAAGCTCTGCTGACTTCCTTCATCCATGTGCAAGAAAAAATACTGCTTTTTTTAAATATTTTCCTTCGACGTGATTCCATATTCTTTGCAAAATTACTTTTTACCATAGTTATTAAGCTAAGTCCAAATTCTCTTGCAAAGTGAAAATTCCTTTGCAAAGTAAACACCCTACTTGCCTTTAGTAAATGAACCTAAATGGGTCCAAAAACTTTAGAATCAAGGAAATAAATGCAACCTCTGTCAAATGCGGGTTGCCTTACAAATGAAGGGTTAATATTTGTGAGTTGATTCCGTACTTCTAGACATTTTAAAAATACTTTACATTGTGTTTTAAATTTTATACTTTGTGGTACAATACCTTAGACAGTTTTTGATTTTACAGCTGTCATATATTCTTACTTATTAGGAATAAACTGAAATTAAATGATTAAAAAAATAATGGTGAAGGATATTTTTTGCAGATGCACTATGTTACTTACACAAATTTTTGGTTCCATACACACTAAAAGAAAGTTGCCCTGAGCACAGGTTTCTGACCAGTGCCATATGGTCTTTGATGCTTAGGGTTCAGAAGGTGTATGGAACCAACTTATGCTGAGATTAAGGCTTCCTTCTTTTTACTCAAGGTCCGGATGCATATTTGCAGGCTATACATCAAGTTTTCATATGTAACTGCCAGCAATAGATTATTACAATGTTGTTTAATATTTAAAATGCATCACTAAAATGGGTTTAAATTATCTCTTATTTGGAGAAGATTACAAAAGACATATTACTTGGCCTGTACTATAGGATCATATGAGTATCATGTGGATTATAGGCAATATAGATAATCAGTCATAGCCTCATATTCCCAAATATTAATTTTACTATTCTGTCACCATCATAATGTACATCATTATGGAGGGAGTAAGTGAGACATCCATAGCAAATACTGCAAATGTGTTTTGGTGTTTATGCCACTAGTTAGGTGTCACCAACAGCAGAATTGCCATTGAGACCTGGCCTGGAGCCTTAAGGTTTTTATCTGACTTCCTGCCTCTAAATAAAAATGAATTACCCAGCCAATGTCCCAGTCTCTGCGTGTTTACCACAGGAAAGAGCATTATGAGGGACAATACTTTAGTCTCATTCTATTTAGTACAATTATCAAATTAATAACGTGAGATAAACATTCTTGACTTTTTTCATACTAACATCTCCAAAAAAGGAGTAGGTACTAGGCGGCAGCTACTCTGTGTTTGTAAATAGGTGTAATTATGTGTAGTCTATGATACTATTTCTTTTAATCTGATCCTGTTTTATTGCAAGATAAAATGGGTGGATTGCAACTTGGCAAATGACAGAGGATAACCTCAGTGCCCTCTGAGCAAAGAGGTAAAAGTATACTAGGACACAATACAGACAATATCCTTCCTGGCTTAAATCAACATACTCAAAATCAGATTCCTTTGGGACCACAGGTTCCAAAAGCTGAGAAATAATATTATTTTTCAGTCTTCCTTTTCAGGAATGATCTTAACTGTTCTTAAAATGTTTTAGGTGAGCCTTAGGATTGCTGGGTGAGAGGTGTCTAGTAGTAGTGTACATGGTTTATAGTAAGGATGCACTGATACTGTTTTTTTGGTATCAAGTACTGATATTTTTTTTTTATCTCGCCACTACCGTATACCGATACTGTAAGTCCCATTATGGAAGCCAGACAGCGTGTAATGACTCACCTCCCGACTTTCCAATTAGCCCAGTGACGAGGAAGTATGAAACCGTCTTTCTGGCCTATCAGGATGCTGGGGGGGGGGGGGGTAATGACTCGTTGCCTGGCTCCCTGATTGGCCAGCTTCACTTCCTGACCAATCAGGAAGCCAGACAGCCAGTCATTACCAGAAGTTCCGGTATCAGTATCAGTATCGGTATCAGTATCAGGAAACACGGACAACAATTAAGGGCCCATAAAGACCTGTGATCACATTGGTCTCATGAGTTCCTCTATGAGATTCATGCGATGTGCTTCAGGCAGGAGGCACCGTACACAAAAATGACAGCTGCCACCACCCAAAACTGTTTGCAGCTTGTTCGCATGTATTCACACAGTTTGCATTAACCTATGAATGACTGCACCTGGACCCAAACAGCCTGCGTCCATGTGCACTTGTTCACAGGTAATCGCAACCTTGGGCAGTGGCAGCTGTCATTGTATTATACAGCACCTACCGCCCGCAGCATAACACACGTGTCTCACAGAAGAATGGGCATAAAACCAACGTAGGAATTAGCCTTTTCAGCACTCTATCCAAAATTAAAAACAAGGTCCTGGCCCCAGTTTCAAATTAGGCTATAACGTAGGCTGTGAGTCACCAGATTATCTCTGCATTTACATAGGCAGCTAATAATAAATCAGACATGAAATTCCAATCTGTCTAATCAAATTTTCCTTCAGCTTTGTCCTAAGATATTTTTTTTTCAGATTCAGACACTATTAATATCTGCTCATACACATAACAATGTTTATAGAAGTTATGTGCACCTTTACTATATTTTCTACACAACATGGCTCCATACTCTGCACATCAACTACAATTGACCTTCTAACTCCATTAAGTATTTGTCTAGTGTATACTAATTAGATTGCTTTCTATGAGAATGTATTCTATTTCCTTCTGCTATTGTCACATATTTTGTCTCATACAACTTATGCTCCTATGTGTACATTTTCATTCTATAAAGCACTGTGCCCAATGGTGGTGCTATAGGCATAAAGAAATCCGGTTGCTTAGCTTTTGCAAGTTCAATGGCAATTCAAACAGTTCCTTTTTCACATTATATTGTAACCCATAGACATTGTGTACAAATTGTGGATATAGGGATCCTGTATTAGTTATAAAAAATTAGTTACTATAAAAAAAATTATTGTTTAAAATACCTTACAGAGATTGTAATCTATAGACATCGCATACAATCTGGATATAGGGACCCTTTCTTAGTTATAAAAAAATAGTTATTATAACAAATATTATTGTTTAAAAAACCTTACAGAGATTTCTCCCCCTCTCTTTCTCTATTTCAGGGTCTCTGTGCGGATTACTCTCACAGGGTAAACATTGCTTGTTATTTACCTATATACTGTTCTCTAAGCATTGCAGTCACTGCACGCTTCAACAGCACTTAATTGAAGTGTTTATTTTCTTATAACTGTAGATTACATTATGTTAGAGTCAATCCACAGGGGTGAAAAACAGACTTAACATGACTAATTATTATGAGTTTGGATGTGTTATAATGAGAGAAGATTTAGGGTGAAGTTATGCACTAATATATGTGATTAGTCTTTGCATTTGTATGAAGCCATGTGGGCAATCATTACTGGGAGTAGAAAGCAGTTGCTTTCTAGTGTTGTCATTTTTACGGAATATAAATGAAAGAGTGCAGTGTTTTGTGGTGGTGTAGCGACATGAGGAAATTATTTGAACCGTAAAGAATGAGCCAAATCTAAAGGTTTTGAAAGTCAGCCAACATGTATAGGGGCTGATTTAATAGAAGAGTAGAGAAAGATCACTTAGCAAAATGAATAAAAAGAAGCTTCGTTCACCATATACAATGTATATAATGTATTCGTTATCATTCTCCTGTATTTTGTTCAAAGTGAGCATACTTTGGCTTTGCTAAATGACCATTCTCTACTTTTTTAATAAATCAACCCCACGGGCTTATAAACTAAGTGCAATAATCTATAGCAACCAATAAGGATTCATCATCACTGATCTAACTTTGGTAAACTGAAATCTGGTTGGTTGTTATTGATCCTTGCACTGGCTTACTGAATGACTTTCTTTGGAATGTAGATGTTGGAGCCAAAGAACCTAACAATATCCTTCTCTGGTGTGTATATGACATCTTTGGGGTTCACTAATACTGTATCCTGCAAGATTGTTGCACAGAAAAGAAGGTTTCACTCAAGATGTTCAGCATATGGTCATGCAGTTTGTTTTTCTTAGTTCCGCTTTTTTCATTCCAAAAACATGATTCAATATTCTGGGTTTTGTTTTACTTAGCAGATAATTCTAGAAGACAGCAATCTGGAAAGTGACTAATTTAAAATGTTAATAGGCTATGTTGCGGAACAAAAACACATCATACATACAATGATCTGGCCACAAATAGCCTTAGAAGTAAAAAAAGATTCTATGAAATGTCGGGCTCTAACAGTACGGCCATAGTAATGTCATGTGTGTGAACACATCATGGTTGAAGTTATAAGAGGCTGTTACTGTGTAAATATACAGTGTTGTAACGACCATCTTTCTGGCCAGCTTCCAAATTACATGCCAATCATTTCATTAAGAATTGATGACATGCTTTATGGGGTGGAACAGGAAGAAAAGCATTATCAGTTGAAAGGAACAAGCACACATAAGCCTTTCCAGAGTTTTGGTATAAAGATTTGGCCGTTAGCCTTAAACTACAAATGTGCTGAAGGATTATTGAACGGGCTACGGAGCTGGGCACACACCATCCAATCTGACAATCCTGTTGTTTGTTTATAATCTATTTGTATGAAATATCTATGCACATCACATTCCGATAGTGAATATGAATAGATATTGTAAGTTTACTGCACACAGATAAGGATTCTGATTATAAAATCCCCTGGACTGCTACACTGATTATGCATAAAATTTTACTATGTGCTTAGGTCTACTGAAGAAAACAAAAGTTGCTGATTTATACAGCCTTATCCAGTTTTTAGAAGTCTTTTGGGCCTCATAGATGTAATTTCTGCACAGGACAAGTTTTAACTTAGTACAATGTGCAATTTAGAATTAACCCTGTAAGGGCTGGCAGTTGTCAGCTATATGAAAATCAGACAGATATGGTTATACATATAATCTATACACATAGATATAGTTAGAGATCGATATAGTTAGACAGATAAAGACAGCTATGCAACATCAATGTTTAGTGGTATAGGCATAATACCAGCGAATATGAAAACCTGAAATTTAGAGCTCATTCATACCATGGCTGTAGACCTGCAATCATCTGCATAGGTCAACGCCGGCTCAAGGAAAGGGGAAGTCGAAAATAATTGTTTCCTATGTGGCCAATTCACATTAAGCATGTGCGGTGGTGTGCACTGCATACAAATGCAACTATGCATCGCACCGACCCTCATCACACAACATACACCAACACGCACACGTTTCAGTATGCGGGCTGGTGTAAACGGGCCCTATTGCTTTTGTGACCAGAGCACGTTGATGCCTAAATGCCCAGTGCAATTGCAGACAACATGTGTAGGTTAATCTAACAATAACTGTTACTGATATGCATACCTAAATAATATATGCTTTTATTTGTTAGAATGTTTTAATTATAAAAAGATCTCTTGCAAAAATGTAAAAAAAAATGTTTTTACATTTTTTATGTTTTAACAAATGTATTAGTATTAGTAATATTATTAGTATTACTATTAAAAGTGCAATTGATTCTGACAGTTACACTATTAATACATGACAGTATATATCTGCAGGCAGATGGCTTTTATTTTTGTCAATAAAGCCTCTAGCCTGCATGTGTTTACTATGTCAGAGTGGACATTGTGGTCTCACTGAGGTATCAGAAACCACTCTGATTGGTTCTCAGACGTGAGTGGGTTAGAGGCTGTAAGAGTGAGCAGTTTAGTAAAGCACAACCCATGTTGTTTATTATCTGCTAATTTATACTGATGTTTTCAGTTTACTATAGATTGGATCTCACAGATCAGTCTAATTGACACATACTTATAATATTGGCTTTTTTATGTTTTGCATATAAAAGTTTTTTTTACATATTTTATGTAAGGAAGCGTATTTGAATGTTGCAGTTACTGAAGGATGTGCCATTCATTAGTCAGTCTTCTCCCTCAAGGTACATACTACTTTAAAAACATCAATACTTCCACTTTGATCCTATCTTGTAACAAATCTCTGAGGAGAGACCACAATAGCATTTCCTGAAATGATGATGCTACTTTCTCACAGGGGAAAAATGGTGATGTTCTATAAGGTGTGTGTTGAGAAGATGAGCTGGAGGTAACACAGTGCTTCATGGGTGAATACAGACACAGATACATAAGGTTTAAAAGAAAAACTATTTTGGAGGAAAATATAATGCTTGCTCACCTTTAGGTATGTGCATTTAATTTTAATTAGAAAATAAACAGGTAAATTAACATATACATCTTAGTGATTTGCCCTCAACGTTTTTTGTAGGCCCAAAGAAACTTCCAAATTCAGTGTAAATTAAAAGTTTAACTTTCTTTATTCAGGGAACTTCCGTGCTCTTAAAAATGTAATTAAGTATTATACAAAGTCACCTTTAATAGTAAAATATTATGATTGTAATTTTCATGGCATTTGTTTATCCAACACATGCAGTCACGTGTACCTGATACTTAAAAAAAAAACTTAGTCCCTCATTAATCAAACGTTCTTTAAAACAACCTAGCATATTTACCATTGCAAGGTGTAATATAATTTGCTGATGTAGAACAGTATTGACTAGTGATGGTCAACTTGGTAAATTTAGAGGGCCTCAAGATGTGCAAAATGGTGCACAATAAATGCACAATCCACTGCAGTCAAAAGAGTTGCTAGAATGTGAACATTAATGTGGAGAGGGAATTTTTTTTCATTTCTATATGGGGGATCTAAATCAGGCTAGGGAAGACTTGATCGAGCTTCCCATCCAGCTCTGCTTCAACAGATCACTTCCAACTGTGACCTATTGCTAGCTGAATCAGCTCTTCTTTAGCTGCCATAATGATAGGAAGTACTGTGATGTCACATGACTTTCTCTGTGAATACAGTGGTTGTAGCACTAAACACTGCTGGGAACTGCTGACACCAGGTGACAAATCACAACACATTGTTACACATAACTGTGCATTCTGGCCCGCTGCTTTGGGGGAAAGGGTCAGGTCCAGTTGTTGATACACTGGGATGTGTTGGCAGCCCAATGAATGAACTTGTTTAACGCATTGTGACGTGAGTTAACTTCCATGCAGTAACACAATACATTGCACTACAAAGATATGAAGGTCTTTAATGCACAGATCAATTTTGCATTTACAACCAGTAGTTTAAATCACAATTGTCCAGAAACTCATATTTGTTTTAACCTCATGTTCAAACAATCATGTTCTCCAGCACTTCTTTTACCGCAGTGGGGCAGGACTGACGGCCTCTGCTAGGCACTTTGATTACCTCCTGCCCATGTTTGCAGCAGGTTCACTCCACCTACAACTGGGAGCATGGAGATTAATTGCCAGCGTCTGCTGTTTCTTACATGTGGACCCTGCTGCTGCTGCAATGTGGCTGGCACTCCGGAAGCCTGTGTGCAGGTAATCATTGGCAAGCTTGCACAGTACTGACTGGTGCTGGGGGCAGAGGCTTTTCATCATCTAGTACCAGACACTCAGTATGCCACACACAGGAGCACGATGTTAGGCACACTGGCTGGATTATACTTAGGCTGGCCATACATTGGCCAATTATTCAAAAAAATGAATACAAATTCAGTGAAACTTTTAGGCTCAAACAATGATCTCAACACATCCTGTCAGTTTGTAAAATGGAAGATAATGATCAAAATTACATTTTAACTTGTTAGAAAATCATTCTCTCCAGGAAATGCTATTGATGCACATTATTCATTAAAGAACAAGACAATTGCAGTCTGAATAGTAGCAGATATCTTTCAAAGTACAGAGACAAAAACAAAAAACATCTGCCCTAAAATGTTAAAAAGATTGCACAACAAGACACCATCATCTTTAACAGCCTGTGTAAGACATTGTCAAAAATCCCCTTCATTACTAGTTGTTAATGCAAGTAGAAATAGTATTTGGAAGACCATGTGGTGGTGGTGGTGATGATAAGGGCAGTTCCTACATAAAGACTAGTTCATTTTATTTATTCCCTTAGTGACATGAGGCATTGTGCAGTGATAAACTGTCGGTACTTATGTTGCAGCACCAGCACAATAATAGAAGGGTCAGCTGTGTTTACTTAGCAAAAACGGCATCACTGGATTGTTATGCTGAAAAGGAAAGAC